GGCGCTCGGCGTGCTCCTGCAGCTGGGTGGTGGGTGGTGAGGGACCCGCTCCTGCTCCCACGGCTCCTCGCCGCGCCGATCTGTGCAGCCGACCTCGTGGAGAAGCCGTCGGGAGCCGCGCTTCGACGGTGGAGCGGTTGGCGAACGGCCCGTGGCCATGAGGGGCCGGGCCGCGCCGGGTCAGGCCGGGCGGGTGCAGGGAGGGGGCCGGACGGTCCTGGGAGTTCCCCCAGACCGTCGAGGCGGGGCGGGTGGATGGTCCCGTTCGGAGGGGAGGAGAAATTCCTGGGTCAGGCCGGGCAGGAGCCGGGGGAGGGCGGATGGATCGCTCCTCTCCGGGCATTGCCGCAGTGAGGGTGGGATGGGATGGGCTCGGCCTGCCCGCGGCTTCTGCCCAGGAATGTGGGGGTTGCTTTCTTATTCTTTCTTGTTTGTTTTTGTTGGTTGGTTTTTTTATTGTTGTTGTTTGTTTGTTTGTTTTTGTCCCCGGGTTAAACTGCAGGAAGCTGTGAGTGAAAAGCAGGGAGAGGAGGGCTCGTCCAAACTATTTCAGCGTGCCCTTATGAGGTGGCGAGCTGTGCTGGTGGGTGGTATTTGCCTCCTGTAGGGTCTCCCGTGCCAGACAGGTCAAAACTGAAGGGTCAGATAAAATGGTCAGGATGGGCTCACCAGGCAGTCAGCCATCCTAGGAGAAGGACAACTCTAATTCCAAACCCCGGGCAGACGGAGCTCGCTTAGCCCGGTAAGGCCATCCATCCAAGAGAAGGATGATCTAATTAAACCCGCGTCCTGGGGACCTCGCTGTCATCTTCCAAGCTTGCCAGGCCCTGGCAGATGAACCTCAGGAGTAAAGGGTGGGACCAGTTCTGCGCAAGCTGAGCCTCACCTAAAAAAAATCCACTGCGCAGGCTCCCAGGTTATACCCACACTTATGGCCAGGAAGCCTTTTCCCTGGAGTTTTCCAGCTGCTGTCCCAGAGGGATTTGGATTCTGATCCTTGTGGGACCATCCCAGCAAGGATATTCCTTGATTTCCGGACAACATCCCGTGCCTTCAGGGTAACACCCTCCCCTCACCCCAACTTGCGAACACCTGGAAAAAACACCTGGAAAAAAACCACCCAATCCCACACAGGGGATCCCCAAAACCCGTTTATTTTCAACATCCCCCCCCACTCCTCCCCAACACAAAACTACGGAAAAACTCATCCCCAAACACAGGGAAGGAGGGAGGAGGGTTGGGAGACTTTTCCAGAGGCGATTCCCATATCCCGGTGTGCGCTCAGAGCGGGGGCTCCATCCCCTCGAGCACCTGCAGGATGCGCGCGGCCGAGGGCCGTTTTTTGGGATCCTGGGCGGTGCAGACGGAGAACAGGTCGATGAGGGGCTGGTGGGACGGCTCCAGCTCCTCCAGGTTCAGGGCCGGGCGCGTCCCCAGGGCGGCGTAAAAAGCGTCCTCGTCGAACAGATCCTCGGCCAGGGAATCCTCTGGAATGGGGACAGCGGGAATGCTGGGGGGGGGCGGGGCTCATCCCAGGGGATCGCGGGGATCGCTGGGATCCAGGCCCAGGGCACCAAGGAACCCAAAATCCCATCCCATTCCACAGGCAGGGACACCTCCTGCTATCCCAGGGGATCCAACCCGGCCTGGGACACTGCAGGGATCATCCAGGGGCAGCCACAGCTTCCCTGGGAATTCCAGCCCAGCCGGGAATCCCTTCCCAATCTCCCCTTTCCCAGTGGGAAGCCATTCCCTGTGTCCTTCCAGTCATTGCAGGCCCTGATCCCAAATCCCTCTCCAGCTCTCCTGG